ATTCAAATTTGTGCGGAGTCTGTTTTTCAAACTAGGTCCAGACAGTCAAAATTTGACATTCGCCTTGGAGTCTGGATCGCATCCCAACCCCACGCAAATGCATTACAAAGTCTCCCGGACAGTCTGGCGCCACCCACCGCTCCCACTCCGGGCTCATAGTCTGCTGCGGGCATGACTGGTATGCCTCTCCTCTGGGGGAGAGAAGGCGCTGTCGGCAAGCTTTGTCATGAACACTGAGAGGTCTAAAGAGAGGCGGGGGGAGGGGTGTTCAGATAGCGTCCACTCAGGGGATATTGGTTGGCCAGGCAGGGCGGAGAAAGGGGAAGGGGTGGGCGGTGTTTCGCGTCGAGAGAGCGTTAGGGCCGGAGAAGGACACGCACCGCAAAACGGACAGAGCTCACCGAGAACAAACTCACTGAAGATGGCGTCAGTACAGGATCAAAACTGACAGAATTGGACTAAAAAGGGTCAGAGTGAGAGGGTGAGGGCGAGGGCGAGGGCGAGGGGGTAAAAAGTGGAGGGGGAGGGGGCGTTTGTGGGGTTGCGAGAGAGTTTCCATGTTCTAGCAGGAGAGGTTTGAACAGCAGCAGAGCCGATCTCGATCGAGGCGGGAGGGATGGGGGTGGGGGAGGCAGGAATGGGAAGATACAGGAGTGCGCTTTCTGCTCAGGGCCTAACTAAGCCACTCGCCGCGCAAAGGCGAAACGCAGACGCCGGCTTCTTTTTCTCTCCAGCTCTCTCGAATTCCCACCTCCAGTTTGGCTGGTTTGGCCCGTCGGTTCGGCCCCAAGTTTTGCGGATCGAGGGGGTGAGGTGGTGCAAAGACGAGACGAGGCAGAGCGTGAAAAGGAGCAAGGAAGGCAACGGCAGACTCCTGACACTTCGGGACATGGGCCAATTAGTTCCCATTCACCGCCGGAACAGATCCAGCCGGGGGAGTTTGCCGCCGGAGCTACAAGTGGCGGAGACTGGGGCCGCTCAACTCTCAGCTCAGCTCAAATCCGCGAGGGAGGAGCAAGGCGCCCGGCTGGGCTGGGCACAGACAGCGCTTCTAAGGGGGTCTGGAGCTGGAGGTACAGCCCCTCCAGCACGGCGCTGGTCTCGTAGACGCACCTGTACGGATCCTGCAGCTCGTCGATGACGAAGTTGAGCTGGTTCCAGCCGCCGAAGGCAAACAGCCCGAAGTAGGAGGCCATCGCCACGGCGCCGGGCGAGAAGGTGCCCTCCCAGGCGGGGGAGAGGTTGTCCACGCCATCTGCGAACAAGGGCGGCCTGCGTCGTTACAACCGACGGAGGAAAATCGATCGACGAATCAAACTTTGTTTACGGACGAATTTATATCTTATTAAAAAGTTGCGGACAATCAGGCCGAGTAACATCGAAGGCTTTGACGCGACGGAAATGAAGGGCGATGGAGAGAGCAGGGGCAGCAATGAGAAAGACACTCACTGTCGCTGTCGATCGGGCAGCGGGAAGGAAAGGGATCTAAACTCGCTGTCGATTAGTCGTCGCAGCGGAGGGGCGTGGCGGAGCGCTGCAGCCGCTAACTGATGAGGACAGATTGGCACAAGTTGTTTTCAGTACATAAGGACTGCGGCGCGCGGCGGCCGCGGGCCCGGGCGCCGGCGCCATCATCCGTGCCCGTCGCCATAACATACCGCTGAACGCCGTCACCGCGCCCAGGATGATGAAGAGCACCAGCGCGAGGATCTTGGCCCAGGTGAACACGCCCTGCACGCGCATGGCCAGGCGCACGGACGTGCTGTTCACCGCGGTGAGCAGGCCTGAAACAAACAAACAGCCGGGATGCAAATAGGCGAGCGAGGAGAGGAGGAAGGAACGTGAAGGGGAGAGGAGGTGCAACTTCCACAAAAGCTGGTCGGCTTACCCAGCCCCACGATGGCCAGCAACTTGACGACGGCCTCCGGCGGCTCGCAGCCCTCGAAGAAGGGCTTGGCCGTGTAGACGGCGAAGGTGCGCGCCATGACGGCGAGCGGCGTGGGCTGCAGGATGACGAGCGACGCCCACAGCTGCAGGAAGCCGGGCAGCGGGCCGAGCGCGGCCGTCAGGTACGCGTACTCGCCGCCGCTGCGGTTCACCACCGTGCCGAGCTCGGCGTAGCACAGCGCGCCCAGGCACGAGAACACTCCTGGAGACGGGACCACAGGGCTCATTACATTTATTGCACACACTACACTAGCACTTGGTTATACCAGGTGTTTCATAAAGGACACAGGTGCGAACGGGTTTGCCTACCCAAGGGACTATGGCGCCTTGCGGGCAGAGCGGGTAGGCAAACCCGCTCGCACCTGCGTGTTTTATGAAACACCCGGTACGTACTTGAAGTTCTACACCGTACCTGATAGCGTCCAGATCACAAGACTGAAGCCCACCGACTCGGTCTTCGCGAACACATTGCTCGGCGACACGAAGATGCCCGAGCCGATGATGGAGCCGACGATGAGGGCGACGCCGCCGGCGAGGGTGATCTTGCGCAGCGCACCTTCCGGGGCCTCGCCCCCGGCGTCCGCCGCGGGGGCCTTCTTACCCATGGCGGCCTGGGGGGACAGAGGGAGAGGTCAGAACAGAGCAGTCAGGAGGAGGGTGCGGCAGCGTAGTGGCGCGATTCGAACCCTCGGGGGATGCGGTTTAGAGACCTGCAAGGAGCGAGCTACGCGAGTCAAACGCGCCTACCTGCACCTCTGCTCTCACCTGTCGGAGAGCGAGTCTAGCTCGCGTAGCCCGCTCTTTGCAGGTCTTTTGAGCGGGTCACGTTCTGTTCCGCTTGATTCAAGTTGCGGGGCGTGGTGGGGTGTAACCGGCGCGACGTGACGCTGTCAGTGTGTGGCGTGCGACGGCGTAGGCACGAGTCTAGACTGGAGCGTTGACCGATGACGAACAGGGATCGATGGCAGAAGCAGATGGACGGGGCGCGAGGAGCGCGACGGCAGGTCCGACGGGGCGGCGGGGCAGGGTGTGTTTGAGCGTAAGACAGACAAGACCTGGGTGGGACGGAAGCCCCAGCCGCGAGGTCCTTAGAATACCTGAAAGACGACCCCCCCCCCTCCTCTCTTCTGAGCTACTGGCAAAAGAAAGAAAATCATGTGCCGCGCTGCGGCCATTCATTCCCACCGACTCGCCATGAACAGACACCGCGCGGAGCACCGCACAGTATCACCGGCTGGGCCCGACACCCAATCCCTGTCCGCCACCGAGGCCGCGCCCAGCACCGTGAGCTTGGGGAGCAAGGTGCTGAGGAGTCGAAATGGAGTTCACTCACAGAAATCAGTAGCCCCTTAGAAAAAAAATCAGGGAAAACTTTTTTAAAAACCCATTAAAAATCAGAGAGTGTATGCTCCGTGTACGCGTGTACGCTTCCATTTATAGTGAAGTAGAGGGGGTTCCAATCGAGGGGTGGACCACTTGGATATTCCATACACACGGAAAACATTTCCGAAAATATTCCAGACATTCCGTAAAATATCTCAGATATTCCATGTACACCAAAAATCCAAAGTGGTCGACCCTACGGCGCTGACATTTTTCAAGTCCAATCTGCGAGACGACTGTGTCCGCTCTACGGCTCGTCTTGCGAGGCAGGCGCTCATCGCCACGCCGCCGACGAGCATTTTATTATTTGCGGCCCGCCTCCGCCAGGACCATCATCAGGCGGGCCGGGGGCGCCGGGGCAAGCCGGGGGTACCCGCCGTGGCCGGGGCCCGGGTGGGCGTGTCGGCCGGCCGCCGTCTCCCTCGCACCTCCCAGTCTGCCGAGGCTGAAACCGCAAACGCTCGCACTTGCCGCGCTGACCTGCCCACTAATTTTCTCAGCAACGATGACGACGGTGCGCGGCGCGGAGAGGTGGAGAAAAATGGAGACAAATGGAGGGGGGGGAGGGGAACATAATGGGAGGTGTGGACGGATGTGACGGACAAGTCGCGTAGCCGTATCGTCCGCAGTTTTCTTCTTACAGGAATTCGTACAGTACGACCATACGACCGAAGCTTCACCCCGAAAGACCAGTGTCGCATTACAATGCCTCCTGGTTTTCCCCTAACCCTAACCGATTTAGGCACAGGATAGGGAAGTCCTTTACCCGGATGGAAATCTACTACTGCCAGACACACAGTGGGGCGCGCAGGTGGACGCCCTGCCACTGCTTGGCCCAAAGTGGCGCCGGGCGTACGCGTAAAAATACCTCTTCCGGTCATGGCCACGCCCCCTCCTCTGCCCCCCTCCTCTTCACGTACCCGCTTCGGCTCGACAGGCGTGCTAACTTCTCAGCGCGCGAATCGACAGAACGGCCACTCCCGCCTCCACCCCTTTCCCCCTCTGGATCAGCCTTCCCTGCCGGAGCAAGCAGGCGAGTTGTCTCCCGGCGCCGAGCATGGTAATGTGTGTGAGCAGAGCACACATGCTGGACTCGGAGGCCGGCGGCGGCGCGAGGGCCGACGTGAAAGAGTCGCACTTCGGGACGGGGAGATAACACACTCAGCAAATAGAGGGAATGGACAGCTGTCATCGGAAACACCACCACTCCGCTCCGCCACACTGTCGCACCTATGGACAAGCGACCGCGGCGACCGGATGAAAAATTCATCCGCGCACCTGGAACCTCGAAGGAAGGTTTCCCGCGCTTTCAAATCACGGCCGTCACAACTTCTCATACGACGCCGGGCCGGGGCTCGCGGTGTGGCTGTGTCGCGTGTCCTCACGCCTTCAATGAGGTTAGCACTCACGTGCGCGAGTTGGCGCGCTGTCCTGATCCGCCCGCGTCAGCCTGGCGACGACGCCCGTGTGGCTCGCGGTGTCCGAGACGATATAGGGCTGCTGGCGTCGGCGCGGTACCCCACGTCCACGCCGACGGCCTGCGTCGGCTGCTTGAGAAAGTACTCGGCACGAGGAGGATCCGCCGCGCGTTACCCACAACCCACTCCAACTCCGTGCCGGCACCGACTGCCGAGCGGAGCGAGCAGCGAGCCGCCGGCCGTTGCCTGTCGCGTCGCCGTGCCTGGCTCGCCTCGCCTCACCCCGCCGGCGCGCTGGTGTGCGAGTGAGCGCGCGCAGGGCAGGGCGCCCCCCTCGCCCTCTCCCCCCTATCCCCCTCCTTTCCCCCTACCCCGGCACCTCCACCGCACCCTCCCTCCCCGCGGTGGCGGCGACGGCCACCCGACGCCGCGCCGCGCACGCGGTGCGTCCTGCTTCCTCTTTCCCGCGCCCTTTCGCTCGTTCTCTCTCTTTCTCTCCCTCCCCTTCCCCCTC